AATGTTCTTTGGCCGCTTGCGTTTGCTTGGCTCTGGTACCAAATAGTTGGGGTTCCTGATGAGATCCCCTGGCCCGCGTGCGTGACAGTGCAGATATTGCCACTGTCACCACACCCCCAAGTGCCCTCTGCCGAGCCCGTCCTGGTATTGATGTTGTGGCTGAGTTCCGAGGTGCCTTTCCTGGATCCTCCTCACTGGGCCCGAGTGTGGCAGCAGCTCGGGCTGGGGCCTTGGTTTCCAGAGGGTCTGGGCTTGTTTGACTGCTTTAACTAGGATTAGTTCGGTGGTGCTGGGGGGGGGGAGGGCTCTGAGGATCAAAGTGTGAGGTGGGGTGGGTGGGAAAGTCAAATTCTGGTCTTGAGATTTATGGATTTGCTTTTGCTGTTGTGACGCTTGTTAACCGTCTCTATGTTAAAATGCCAAAAAAAAAAAAAAATGCCCCAGTCTGTTGCTTTCCTGCATCCAGCGATTCACAATAGCTTCTGGCTTTGCAAGGTGTCTGTCTCGGCCAGTGCCGTGGCCAGCCGGAAAGGGTCCGAGTTCTCACTGTCCCCCGTCTGTCCAGAGACAAGCTTCTGTAGTGGTGGGGCTTCTGCAAAACTAACCTGCTTTGCCCAGGTCACCCCAGACACTGCTCCTCACTTGACACGAGGGACTGGAGCCATTCCTGGTCTCTGTCTGGAGAGTGCTGTTCAGGGCCTGCTCCTTCTGTCCTGGTGGTCTCCTGGAATTAGTTGTGTGGTCACCAAGAGGATTGAGGACACGGTAGCCCTGAGCTGAGCTGGGCTCATCTTCCAGGGAGCAAACCTAAAGCCAGCAGTCAGCCCCCCTGGCTGGAGCCCTGCAGTGGGTGAGCAGAAAGTGTCTTATAGGCAGAGAGCCTTGTACCTGGCCATAGCCCCCTCCCTTTAGGCTGAAATTCTCACCTGAGCTTCCCCACGGGAAACTCTAGAACAGGAGGAAAGTGGGAAGCCCTGGGTTGGAACTACTCTGGCTGCCCAGGGTTTCCTGAAATCTTCTGGTCATCAACAAAGGGTACCTCGAAGGGAATGAGATGGTGGGATTCGGTTGAAGGTGCCTGGTTTAGTGCTGTTAATTGTCTTATTTTTTTTTATATCTATATTTCTTGGAGTAAACATTTTAAATAAACGGCATCATTGTTTACTCTGCCTTGGCGTTCGTGTTTGCTCTTCAGTGTGGAACGTGTCCCCAGCCCTGTACACGTACCCGGAACAGTGACCAAAGAGGTGACGGCAACCCCCAGGGAGCTTCATGCTGGGCTAGGATGGTGCACAGAGCCATGATGGGCCCATGGGATGGCGGCCAAGGGCTTCCCAACCAGGGTTGGACACAGCCCCGAAACACACATACATGGTCCCAGCTCAGGAGCTGGTTTTTTTGGATGGGGCAAAGTCTCAAGTAGCCCAGGCTGGCCGCCTGCCTCCACCTTTGCCTTTGCAGTGCCCAGGATATGTGAGGTGTTTAGCATTCATTGTAAATTCGGCTCAGCCCCAGGTCAAGAGTGCTAAACATGGCTGCCTGTTAACACTCCTCAAGGTGTGTTAAAAGTGGGTTCAGGTTTTTGTTTTTGTTGGAGACAGTCTTGCTGTGTAACCATCTTTGGACTGGAGTGTTTCTGTGTAGTAAAGACTAGGTGGGCCTTGGAGAGATGTAGTCTACCTACTGTCAGATGAAATATTTTTACTATAAATTTAAGCTGAACCTGATGGCTGTATTTCCTTTGCTAATCCCCACTAACCACACAGAGACCAAGATTTAAGTTCCATCTCCGTGCCTGGGCAGTTAAATGAGTATTAACTTGTAATGGTAATCTGGCTACCTCCAAGCCCCAGCCCCACTCCAGCCCCCCGCCCCATGATACTTGCAGTTTAATATGGTTCTAGCTCTCTGCTTCAGAAGTTTCTTCCCTGGCTGTCTTCTCTGACCCTCTCCCTCCTCTGGCTGGTGGAGAGACAGAAGATTCTTGACTAAAACATTACAGTGCCGTGTCTGGATTGAAGCAAGATGTGGGGGCAGGCAGAGAATCAGCATTTGAGCAACACAAGGATAACTTTTACATGGTGCATAAAAACATGTCTACAACCTGCCCCTGCCTACCCAGTGCTGGCAGTAAAGGTGTGAGCCACCCCACCCACGTACATGTAATTTTGAATCTCTGTTGGGTTTTGGTTCTGGATGAACAAGCATTCTCTCAGATACATCTACCCAGCCCTATGAGCAGTCTTACCAAGATGCAAGCCTACCATGAGCCAGGACCACTTGTAACCACCAGGGGGCACTGTAAGGTTAGCCTTTTATGCCACGGGACTGGGGGTTGGACTGATGTGTCATCTTAGCTGTCATTTCCTCTAACACACCAACAGTCCTGAGTCGGGTCGTTGTCCTTCCTGTTGTGTAGAGGAAAATAAGTTAGACAGGCTGTGAGCGAGGTCTCAGGGAAGACCTATGCCGAGAGTTTCCAGTTGTTTCCCCTGGCCATCTTCCAGGAGAGGCCTTTGGGAAGTTTTCCTGCAGTGCTGAAGAGACCCCTACTTTCTACAGCAGAGGCTCTCAACCGTCCTAATGCTGAGACCCTTTAATGCAGTTCCTGTGGTGGGCCCCAACCAGAAAAGTACATAGTTACCTCATAACTAATTTGCTATTGTTACCAATTTCAATGTCAATATCCATGAAAGAGTCATTCAACCTCTGGGGGGGGGGGGGACCCACAGACTGAGAATTGCTGTTTAATAGGTCTGGGTCGTGCTAGACAATGAAGCTGTGTCTGGAGAGCCAGCAGCCTCCCCAGCCAATACACAGTCACTGACGGCTCCTTAGGATGGGAGGGGTGTGGGGCGTGATCAGTCGGTCACATGCTTACCCTGTTGGGAAGGTAGGTGCTGTGACGTTATACGAGACTCTGGTTCCCAGTGGCCTAGTGGAGAGGCCTGAGGCGCAGCCTTATCCAGTCACTGGACAGAGGGACTATTGATTCAGGGTCAGCAAGGATAGACAGCAGAGCCTGTGATCTCCATGTTTAAAGTATATGTGTGTGTGTGTGTGTGCGTGTGTGTGTTTGCTTTTATATGCAACTGTACCATGTGTCCTGGGTGCCTCGGAGGCCAGAAGATGGAGAAGCCCTGTCGTGGTCGTTTATAAATCCGCTCTGATCTCCGCGGCAGATAGCGAGGAACTTACCCCGATGTTCTAGATTCTACAATAAAAGACACAGCCTTCTATTTTAATATGCCTTGACTAGCTCAATGGTTGGACACTTCTAAACCTCCCCACAGCTAACACACTTTTCCCTCAAATATTCCTAACTATTACTTTCTAAAACCTATATTCCATCTTGGCCACCCCAAACCCAAGCCTGCAGCCCCTATATCCACTCCCAGCCACAGTCCCTGGCTCTCACATGTTGGCTGTCTTGTCTTACAGTTCTCACACCTGATCCTTCTGCTTCCCCGACATGATGGTTCTAAATCCTTCCCATGGTTCCCTTGGACAGAAAATCTGAAGTTCCACCTCTGTCCACCATTGTCCGCCGCTAACTTTATTTGACAATCAAATAGGGACAGGGACCCTCAGTGTCTTACACACAGATGTGTGGGTTCCCCATAATTTTGGGAGCCAGATTAATACAAGGAACAGTAAAACCAATCCACAACAGAGCCCCTAGTACTGGAATTACTGATGGTCACAAGCTGCCATGTGGGTCCTCTGGAAGAATGTCGGCAGATGTCAACCACTGAGCCATCTTTCCATCTCCTATGTGTTTCAAGGAAACACAGGACTCCAGGGCTTGGTGTTGAGCTAGGCTTGACTTTCTGATGAAGTGTTTGTACATCACACCAGAACATCACCAGAATACTCAGTTACACCCCCCACTGCCAACAAAGGTACCTGTATGCTAGCACTCAGAGGCAAGAGAACTAACATTCAGTTTTTACATTTGCATGTGCATGCACCTACATAGATGTGGTAGAATCACCTGTGAAGATGGCAGTCTGTCCTACTGTGTGGGTCCCAGGGGTCACACTTGGGTTGCCAGGAATAATAGCCATCTTTACCTGTTGAGTCGTCTCTTCAGCCCTCAAGGTGATTTCTGGCTATAAAGAGTTCAGGCCTAGGGCCGGGCGGTGGTGGCACACACCTTTAATCCCAGCACTTGGGAGGCAGAGGCAGGCGGATTTCTGAGTTGAGGCCAGCCTGGTCTACAGAGTGAGTTCCAGGACAGCCAGGGCTACACAGAGAAACCCTGTCTGGAAAAACCAAAAAAAAAAAAAAAAAAAAAAGTTCAGGGCAACTTGAGACCTCATCT